ATGCTGAAATCTAGAAATCTTTCAACTAATTCTACAACCTCTTGTGTCTAGCAAAAGTTATGTTAGGTGGCTGCACCAGGGGTTGTGATCTTTTGACTCCTGGTCGAAATTATGTTCTGGACTTTTTACAGTTGGCCCTGGAAAAGGGTTTCAGCTATAGCACCATTAGGATGCAGGAATCCACTTTATCTGCACTGACTCATTATCATTAGGTGGAAGAACCCTTAACAGCTCAATTTCTTAGAGCAGAGATCAAGTTGAAGCCACCTATCCCTCACCTATTGAAGATAATCCTTTCCAAAATGGGCTATTCTGGCCAGGCAAAAACAATTCCCTTAGGCTCCTAACCCTGAAGACGTTTTTTTTTTCTGATATCCATGGCTTTTGTTTACAAACCACCTTACTGTCAGATCTTTCATGATAAGGGGGTTTTGCGACCTGTTTCATCCTTTCTTCTGAAGGTAGCTACAACTTTCCACCATCCTTTCTTCACTAATACCCTCAGTGGACTCTCCAGGGCATGTAGAATGGGTGAAGTTGGACTTGCTGTGAGTCATCACTACGTATCTTTGAAGAACAGAGAAGTTGTGGGTATCTGAGAATCTTTTCATCCTTCCTGAAGGTCCCAGATGAGGTCCATAGGTGTTTCCCCCCAGAAAAGGTCTTGGCTCATTTCACAAGGGCGACAGCTGCTTTGTGGGAACGTTTTTGCCAAGGTGGCAGCTGAAGTGGTATGCAAAGCTTCTAGCTGGAAGTCCACCAATACCTTTATCTGCCATTACCAGCCTAAGGCTTCTCAGTCTTTGGGGGCTTCAGTTCCGTTTACGACTGATGTTTGTATTATTACATTATCTTTTGCATTCGGGTCGGTGTTGTTTTTTCCCACCCCTCATTGTTTTTGCTTGCTACTTCCCATGCGTATGCTGACATGACGAGCTCTGGGAATACCAAATCAATAAGTTGGAACACCAGGGAGGGAGACGTAGGCTGACATGATGAGTCCCAAACAAAAGTACAGTAAGGCCTCATTCACATGAGAAAAAGCAGGCGCGCACAGCTCCGTGCTGCGTGCATGGCTGTATCGGGGAGCTCCCGGGAAGGACAGGTGCTGGGTATAATTAGTACGCAGCCCCTGTCCTTCTCTATGGGAGTACGTGGCCATACGCCGCCTACACGTCCGTGCCGGTGCGGTTGTCCATACTCGTACGCTGACAGGATGGATCCTGTCTGCGTCCGAGCCAGGACATCCGCACCTGTACGGACCTGCACTTGGGGTGAGCGTAGGGCGGCGTATGGCCGTGTATTCCCATAGAGAAGGACAGGGGCTGCATACTAATTACACGCAGCATGGGCGGTAGGGTGCGAAAACTGGGTCATCAAAAACTGTCCGAAATGTGCATAGTGTATGGTTGAAACAATTTTTTTTTAGGGGGTTGTCCTGTGGGGTCACAGGGGTGGAGTCAACCGATGAGCAGGCTGACATGATGAGTGCTCAGCAAAGGAAAATTACATTAGTATTATAAAGAATGGGGGGATTTATCAAAACTGGAGCAGACAAAATCTGGAGCAGTTGTCTATGGCAACCAACTTCTCTCTTTAGTTTGTTCAGTTAAGGTTTGAAAATAAAACAGAGAGGCTGATTGGTTGCCATGCAGAGATGCTCCAGATTTTGTCTGCTCCAGTTTTGATAAATTCCCCTCTCTGTTCCCTATTCTCATTCTTCTCAATTTGCATAACATATCTCAGGGGTTACTGTTTAATCTCAGTTCCTTAGTAGTCAGCATCAACCACATACAATACACTATCCTCCGTCCAACTGAAGACGCACACACACTTCCACCCTTCCCTTTAAAAAAAAAAAAAAAAAAGACACACCTTTCCAGTGACGCTTTTTTTCAGCCCCTGCAACTTTAAGAGCACGTTCATTGGCTCGCACTCACGTTCTCTTGGCAACGCCTTTAAGAAAACAAACGATTGGAGATGTTCACGATCAATCATTACCGCTACGTTTTTCTATTGGCCGAAGTGGGCGGGTCTAGCGTATTCCTTCGGGAACTGTAGTTGAAAGGAAACGTACGTGTGTGCGTTTTCCATGGATTGAACGGAATCAGAGGATGAAGATCCAAATTCTAGATTCGTTCCAAAACGTTAGCTCCGGCTGTTGAAAGGTAAACGTTTGCATCCGTTTGATGAAGTTTATTTAAAAACAGAACAAAAAAACGGGAAACGGAGATTTGGTGGGGTGTGTCCGGTCCTCTCCGAGCGACGCCTAACATGTGAGGGAATTCAAAGTGGAAGGAGTGAAACGAGAAAAGGCAATGGGGAAGCGGAACGCCTGCCCTTGTACGAGTCCTGTTGCTAGCCTTCAGTTTTAAACACCAATCTGTGGAGAGCAAGTGATCGCTTTCCCTGTGTAGGGCGGAACGGCGATCTGATGCTTTGTGAGCATTGTGTCCCCTAAAATTGTGTCATTAGCGGGGTCACTGCCTTGAATGTGGTGTTGTAAGGCGCATGTAGTGTGCGGCTTGCTTTGTGCCTCCCAATGGTGAATCCTGCCTATTCTAGCAGGGTGGATCAGAATGGGGAGGCAGCGTTCACTTCCATTTATCAGACATGCTCATAGGTGCTGGCCTTCCTCAAATATAAACCAATCCTTTTGTCATTCTCTTCACAATTCCGCCATTGTGATCACTGGCAGTTTCCTGTGCTAAATCCCTGCAACAGTTCCGTTTTCCGAAACCTTCCCTGATCCCTGTAGCCTGTGTTCATGGTTCATTGGGGCCACAAAGCAGGCTTGTGCTTTTCTTTTGGTTATCTGTGTTTTTGCTTTGGGTGTCTTTCTGCTTCCTTGGCTGTCTGTGGTCACAGTGCTCAGACTATGTACAGCACATTCTTGGTGATTTTCTGTCAAAGCTTCCACAAAAGGCAGGATTCCTTTCCCCTGCAGGGTTTTCTTTCATGCCAACATTCTGTAACAGGGCATGCCCATATGGTGTGCTGTGGCTTGCTTTCATTTCTGTGAAGGGATCATGTGCATTCTTTTTACAAGACAAGCAAATGCTGATGGATGACCGTGAAAATGGATGCAGTACAATATGATCAGCCAAGGGTTTAGGGCTGCAAGCAACTAATTGCTCGATTTCATGAGAATTGTTGTCAACTATTCTCATTATCGATTAGTTGGTCTGGATCCCTTAGTTCTCTCCTTTTTTTTGTGCTGTTTCAGCAGCTGTGTGTGTCCTCCGATCCTTGCTTGGACACAGACTCCTGCAGCTGGTGCCCAGTGGTGAGAAGAGCGCCCCCTGCCGCCGCAGGGGGCCCTTTGCATGCTGTGTTTTGTGTGTCCACTGCTCTCCCCCATCTGTATCCGCAGAGGCAATGGGGATCAAAGGGGACACAGACCGCTGCAGCCGGTGCCCAGCGGTGAGGAGAGCTTCCCCTGCCCCGCAGTTGTCTTTTCCCTGCTGGGAGCCCGCTGCAGTTTGTGTCCCCGCTGCTCTCCCCCATCTGTATCGGCAGAGGCAATGGGGATCGGAGGGGACACAGGCCGGTGCCCAGCAATGAGGGGAGCTCCCCCTGCTGCCACAGCTGTCTTTTTTTTTTCCCTGCTGGGAGCCTGCTGCATGCTGCGGTTTGTGTCTCCGCTGCTCTTCCCCATCGGCAGAGGCAATGGGGCTCGGAAGGTACACAGCCTGCTGCAGCTGGCGCCAGTGGGGAGGAGAGACCAGCTGTCAGGCTCTAGTCACACATGAGTTTTCTGCACGCCCCCCAAAATAGTCCAAGCACAATTTCAGGGTCGGATTCCGCATGTTCGTGGCTATAGTATAGCTGCAAACAAGCGGAATCCATGCAGATGTAAAGATTGTAGCATTTACGTGCCATGCGGTCTTCCGCGCGGGAAATGCAAACGCTATATGTGAATGGAGCCTTAGCCAACATGGCTGTGACTCTGCAACCTCCCTGCAATTGCCTGCCTGCTATTGGCTAATTCCAATTGCAATAGCCCAGCTGTGGGAAGTGTGTTGCAGTGCCAAGGTGTCAATGGTGCCCCATATGTGCCTGCTGCCCGCAGTGTAATTGCACACACTGGAACATGCAGTATGACTGCTAAATTGTGCATGCAGTATTCTGAAGTAAATTTTGTTTGTAACACTCTATTTGTGTATTTTATTTTAAATGAAGGATGGTATTTTTTTATCCTGTTAATAGAGAAAACAAAAATCAGTCAACTAATCGATTATGAAAACATTAGTTGCAGCCCTACAAGGGTTTCCAAAGGCAGAGGGAACAACTTTATTATTATTTTTATTTTTTTTAAATCCAATATGCATAACAAGAATAGGACTATAGCACAACAAGGCAGTATAGATGTCACACATCAGTAGTTGCCTTGAGTGGGGGAGGTTAGCATTTAGCATATACCCGATATAAACTGATCGTAGACAAGTGACCCAAATGGGGAAAAAGGTAAGCTACAAAGTGCAAAGAATAGGCATAGGGGTCAGCCACTGGATCGCATATCCACAGCTCAGGACAAATGGGAAAGGTAATGTATGTCGGGGTTCCAGAAGCTCTCTATCAAAATCGGGCGTTCGGAAGTGAGAGATCCATGGCTCCCAAACTTTGCGCAATTTCGGCATGGTGTCTTGCAATTTAGCCGTCAATTGACCAAGACCCATTGTTGTCTGCTCTGAATCGCAGAAAAGTGGAACGTCTCCAAGAGCCAAGCCCCCGCAATCGCCTGCTTTGTGGCTGTCAGTACATGTGTGGGAACATTTTATTAAAAGAAAATAAACTGTTCGTTGTCCTTGATGGCCAGAAAGTTTAATTTGTAGTAATTCGGTTGATGTTCTTTCTGTGTTTGGTAAATGTCAGTATTTCATGTTCTGCTGGCTCTGTATCCCTGTTGACAGATGTTTCCTTCATACTTTTGTATTTAATTCATTGCCTGTTGAATTTTTAATTCTAGAAAGAAGCTCGCTGTGCTTCCTGTTTTGGATTTGATACCTGGTTTGGGTAAGATTGTGAATAAAGGTGAAAAGAACCATGCAGCTATATTGGGGAAGGATTTAACACGCTCTACTGTTGATGTCTGCAATCAAGAGAGAACTGCGGGAGTCAGGGCTGCTGCTGCTTAGGATTTGGTGCAGAGAATAAGGCCAAGCCTGCTGCAGGAGGCGGTTGCTGTTCAGACAGCTGCATGTTTGCAAGACCTGGAGATCCCTTTGCAATACTGTCATCTGTCCCTTCATTTCTCCATGGACAGGGAACACTATTGCTAACAAAACCACACTGATTTTTGTCTGAAACCTCTTTCTTCATACTGGAATTACAAGCAATACGGTCAACATGACATCTCTAGCAAAATTTAAAAAGGATAAAGAGATCATTGCAGAGTATGACACCCAAGTGAAAGGTAATGTATGTGTTTGTTTTTTTTGTACTATTACTGTATGTGGGGTTTTTTTTTTTTGCTTAAAATGTACTGGTTTTATACTGTACTACACAGGGATAAGGAAGAAATTCACCTACCAACTGCCACATTTGTCTCTGTACTTTTTTTTTTTTTTTTTATTTGGTTTCTTGTAGGGTTTTATGATGTGCTTTTAAATTAAAAAGCAACGTAAGATGGGGATTTGCAGTGATTAATATTTCTTCATAATGGGCTGGGCTATGCTATGTTGATAGAAAGGCCTTAAATGCTTTACGATTATTCTGTTGACCCTATTCCTGCTGAAGGGGTTAAGCCTATATTGTCTCTTTTAAATTAATCCTGTGACTGTTGCTGTCAGCATTTCAGTGTGTGTACCATAATGAAAAAGGAAACAGCCCATTTATTCCACAATCCTGATTTACTGAATTGTGGTAAAACAACAATAATAATGCTGATGTCACTTGAAGCTGTTACCTATTTGCGTTCTAAGGCTCCATTTACACATGAGTGGTTTTCCGCACTAAACGTAAAGACCGATGCATTGCAATGTGCATTGTTCAGACTATTGTGGCGGCGGCACAGTATGAAACCGCGTGTCCTGCAAAATAGGCCAGTCGCAATTTTTATGAGTGGATTTTGCACGTTCCAGCTACAGTAATAAAGATGAATAAATGTCACCAGCACACAACCAGTATTACAGTGCAAAGAGATAGTTTATTGGAACGTCATGCCACCAAAACTAGCGCTTTCGGGGCCATGCAGGGTCTCCTTCATCAGGCTCAGCAATGACAGTAATAGCCACAAACGGCGTATGTTACTGTTTGCACCGTTTCGTTCAGCGCGAAAAACCGTGCGGAAACTGCTATGTGTGAATAAAGACTTAAGAAGCTGAACATGTTGGTGGGTGCTTTCCATGTTATACTATGTCTTTATTACTGAAATACACCTATGGAAATGGGTTTGTTGTAAAGGAGGTTTCCACAGTGTGTGCAAATTAAATGTCACATTTTATTACATTAACAGATTTCACAGATCTTGACAATCTGAAAAAAAAAAAAACCTAACATGTCTACACATTTAACCAGTTGCTGTCCGGCCATTTTAAAACACTGGCTGATGCTTCCCAGCAGGTGGACGTACATGTATGTGATTACTTTTTTCCTGCTCACGCGCGCGGAATCTCACTGGGTATCGAAACAGCTGGTACCGGCTGTTAAATACAAGCGTTTAGCCGGCCGATCGCTTGTGGGAGTACATGCAGTGTGCGGGCCCCTCTCCGCCGCCACTGCTGGTTATCCTGGGCTCCGCTGTCCCCACTCCCCCTCTCTCTAATAGCCGGAAGTGATGTGTATTACATCACTTCCGCCTTTTAGCTGTCATTTCTCTGGCTGCTATAGTCAGAGAAGAAGCTGGTGAAGCAGAACTGTGCTTCATTAGCTTCTTTGGGGGTCCCCAGGTGACATTAGGGGTCTTAGACTCCCGATGCCTCCATAAAGGGGACCTGTCATTTAGGGCTGCAACAACTAATCAACCAAAATGATTATAATCGATTTATTGAAAAAGTTGTCAACATTTTCAATCATCGATTAATTGACTTCCCTGTTCACGGCTCCACACAAGCTGTGCACCGCACCTCCTCCCCACCTCACCGCCCGCCCACATCCACCATTGGCACAGCGACGCGGGTAGAATAAGTAAGGAGGAGCAGGTGTGGGGGGATGACAGCCGTTGACAGGCCCAATCTCAGAAGCAAGTTGCTGGAAGACTGCTCAGGTAAGCCTGCACTTTGCCACAGATGGTGCTCTATAATGTATTGCTGGGATTTGTATTCCTCTATAGCTGATGTGCATTGTGCTCTATATTATACAGAGCAATATACCATCAGCTATAGAGGATTACAAAACCCAGTAACAGTACATTATACAGCGCAATGCAGAATACAGCCAGCTATAGAGGATTACAAAACTCAGTAATAGTAAATTATACAGCGCAATGCAGAATACCACCAGCTATAGAGGATTACAAAACCCAGTAACAGTACATTATACAGCGCAATGCAGAATACAGCCAGCTATAGAGGATTACAAAACTCAGTAATAGTAAATTATACAGCGCAATGCAGAATACCACTAGCTATAGAGGCATACAAAACCCAGCAATAGTACATTATAGCTGGCGGTATTCTGCATTGCGCTGTATAATGGACTGTTGCTGGGTTTTGTAGTCCTCTATAGCTAGTGGTATTCTGCATTGCGCTGTATAATGGACTGTTGCTGGGTTTTGTAGTCCTCTATAGCTAGTGGTATTCTGCATTGCGCTGTATAATGGACTGTTGCTGGGTTTTGTAGTCCTCTATAGCCGGTGCCATTCTGCATTCATTGCTGTATAATTTCTATACTTTCCATTTCACTATATTGCACACCACACTTTTTTTTTTTATTTTCTACTTCCACCGCTCTAAGCTTGTTCCTGTGATGGGCTGCAATCTCAATACAAACTAGTAGTCCCATCACTGGAGCCATTTTTTAAAATGTATTTTATTTTTTAACTGATTAAGTGAACTTTATAATCGGCTAACCGATTTTGAAAATCGTTAGCTGCAGCTCTACTGTGATTGTATATTGACTATCACATAGGGGGCTTGCTAGCTTCCTCTGTGATAGCATAGAGGACCTGTTTTAAGTGTAAAAAAATAAATTAAAATACATTTTTATTGTGGGGAGTGTGATTTATTTTTTTTTTTTAATAGAAGTCCCCCACGTGCTCACACATATAAACGTAAATACGCATAGGTGCGCCTACATGCGAGAACAATGATTACACCACATGTTACATATCACCGCAAATGTGGGAGTGTGAGCAATAATTCTAGGGCCCTCAATCACTGAAAACACTAAAGTGGTGAGAGGGAAAAACTTTTAAAGTGTGTCGCCTATGGCCAATTTTAGGCAAGGTAGTTTTTTGTGATGTCGCAGGTGTACGCAAATTTAAAGCTTGACATGTTTAGTGTCTTATTTACACGACATGACCCGATCTTTAAAATTTACCAAAAAATTGGGTAATGGTAAATGTTAAAACATAAAGTAGGGAAACCTTTTTGTTTTCAAAAATTTTCATTATATAGTTAAAAAAACAAAAACCTGCAGTGGTGATTAAATACCACCAAAAGAAAGCTGTGTTCCCAAAAAATTGTATAAAATTAATTTTAGTACAGCATTGCGTGACAGAATAAATGTCAGTCAAAGTAATGCAGTGCTGAAAACTGAAAAATAGCCTTGACAGGAAGAGGGTTTTAACACCCTGGTCAGCAAGTGGTTAAAGTGACATTAAACTCGGGAGTTAAATATGTATTACCTTAAAGTGATATTAAAGCCATTTTTTATTTCTCCTTTAAGGAGACCCTCCTTTGCTGGAGGCTGTTGTTGTGTTTTTTTTAAATTAAGTTCTTCATTCCTTATTTTCTAGTGGGTCCCCGCCATTCTTTCCCTCCACCCACCCCTGCACAGGTGCCACCATCGTTCTAATGGAGGCACTCGTGCCCGCAGCGGCTGTGTGCGTCCATAGACTCAGCCCTGTGGCAGGCCACGCCCCTTCCCTCTTTGATGGCAGAAGGAGCCTATGGCTACTCTGCCATCAGTATCCTCCCCCCGCAACCCGGAGGTTTTAGGTACGGGGGATCGCTTCGGGACCGGCGGCGGGGACGAGCGCAGCTGACGGGTGAGTGTGGGGGAGACTGAGGAGGACTGAGGTTGAAAAAAGGTGCTTGGCTGTTTTTACCCTAATGCAGAGAATGCATTAAGGTAAACGCCCAGACCTTAATACTACTTTAACTATTAACACAAATGTATCTTATTTGTGTATCGCTCAGCTGTAGATCCTCAAATCCTCTCCAAATTGGTGCCAACACAGTCCTTCCTTCTGGAGGGTGGCTACTGTTGTTCCCCATGGTCCGTGTGTGGGTTGTAAAGTAGCCACCACTCCAAGTTTGCTTTTGTGAAGGACTATAATGACAAGTTTAGTCTACTAATTTGTATTGAGATTGTAGTCTATCACGGGAGTGAGCTTGGTGCGGTGGCTACTTTACAACCCACACACGGACCATGGGGAACAACAGTAGCCACCCTCCAGAAGGAAGGACTGTGTTGGCACCAATTTGGAGAGGATTTGAGGATCTACAGCCGAGTGAAACACAAATAAGGTCCAGTATTGTTAAAAATGTAGTTTTATAGTTTAATCGCTATAAATATTTCAAGTTGATGCTGTATGAACCAATTGATTGACTACATACTGTGTACTGATAGAAGTGTAGTTGGGGTCAAGAATCTAACTTAAGTTTAGCTGAAACAAAAAGGCACCAAATCTACTAATAAATTCATAATTGTGGGCTTGTTTACACCATGTCTGGGTCATGTCCAGACCAGAACAGTTTGTTCCCAGACCAAAAAAGCATCCCAATGTATCCCTATGGTATTTCTGGGCTCTGTTCACACCAGTGCAGTCCATTCTGCACCAGACAAAAAAACGGCTTCTCTGGTCTCGAATGCATACAAAATGCATGCAAACGCACTGGACTGCACCTGAAAGCCCATTTTAAGCTACAAAAAAGGAAAAAAAACATTCTGAAACACGGTCAAAATGTGGCAAAATGCATGGCGTTCTGGTCTGGAAAATGGTGTGAACCTGGCCTGAAAGTAGAAAACAGTGTTCTGATGTATTGTTTTTCACAGTTTAGCTGAAAGTATGAAATGTATCTCATTTTTAAAATTGAAGAGTTCAATTTGAAAAATGTTTGTGTTTTTGAGAACTGCTTGCAAATATTAGGTGCCCTTACTATAACCTTATAGTTTGTCTGTGCAAAACAAGTATGGAGTTCATCTCTGCAATACATTTTCTTTCCTTATGATCTGTCTATTTGAAAACACTACATATGCAAAAGAACTCTGTTGCTCCTAACTTCCTATCTGAGCTGGCAACACAGAGACTCTGCTGCAATGAAATGCCATGTCTAGTTGTCAGCCCTATCCAGTACTCTACTTCTGTATTATAGAACACGCCCCCTTATTGCCATACCATATGGGCAAGTTTTCCACTTGGCAAATAAGGGTTTATTTTTTTCCTCAGGTGGTGGGTGGTCAGTGCTGCAGAAAACTGCGCTCATGTAGTGACGTGTGAGCGTCGTTCTATGCAGCATTCAGCTATCAGCCTAAGCTGCACAATAGCATGTCATGACCGTTTGTGCTTACAGAAAGTGGGTTGAATGACACTGGATGTCATTCAACCCACATGAGGATCAGAGGGCAGCTCTAGAGCATGGAAAGGCTGGGTACTGCACTGTTTGTTTTTTCTTTGTTTGATTTCCAGGACGGGTGAAGTAACAAACATGGAGATGGGATTTTAAGCAGAAGTCTAGAAACCGCAAAAAAAAAGTGAATTTTCCCCTAATTATCTTCCAGGACAGCTACCTGAAGATGATTCAATGTTCAACAGGAATGTTGCCTGCAGTCTAGCCTAATGTCCCCATTATATGTTCCTATTTGTGTCCTTGGGGGGGGG